TTTTTTTTTTGGAACTGAATAAAAAAAGCTGTTTGAAGAAATTAGTAAAATCTTATGCGTTCAATATCAATTGCAAAATTATTGCAAGCGGGTGCAACTGATATGCTTTCAATTATCGAATAGCAATCGATAATTTGTTTTTAAATTTTATCCATTCTAGCATACATAAGCATCAATCATACATTTGTTCGGTTGCATGAAATTTCAGCTGACATTCTGAATCATTTTTTAATTGTGAAGTTTTATAATTTTTGCAGGGCTATTTAATCTTCAAAATATTAGTACATTTAAAATTGCTCATTTAAACTTTTTCATTTAGCACTAAGTAGTCGATTTTAGGAGAAAGAAAGAATGCTATTAAATATTTTGAAATGCTATTACAAAGTGTTACTGAACTTTTGCGAACTTATCACATGTATATAACTGTTATATGTTATGATTGTCAAGAAACATTATAAAAATAAATAAATTAAATGTCGACTTGCACCGTTTACAATCACAACTGATGATCAAAATTCAATTGAATACCGAAAAATGAGGAAAACAATTAACTAACTTGACATTGTTAACAGTTTTCAAAATTATAAAAAACGTTAACGAAAAAAAGCAAAAATTTTCACAGTTGATGTGTGCAATTTTTTTTTTTTTTTTTGTTTGCCAAAACAACCAATAAATGTGAAAATTTTAGTAAAATGACCATAAAATGTTTGAATTTAATAAAAACAATCTTTGAGTTATCGTCGTATTTATATGGATGATGAAAATTTCATTTAGATAAAAATTTGTTTAATATTTGATCAACAAAAATTGCATTGTATTTTGCATCAATCAATAAATTTTGATATTAAACATAAAGATTAGCGTTTGTCTCAGATTATGCATTTGCGAATGTTATGCAAATTGATAGTTTACAAATTAGTATTCGATAATTTCTTGTGACAAAATCCAGGATTGCAAAAGATATTTTAGGCTAAGTAGGACAGAAACATATACTGCTTTCTAAACAAATTTTCTGTAATATAGTTACATAATTTCTGTGACATAATTAAAGCATTTATATTCCATTTTCATTATCAATTATCCTTGATGAATTCAGGAATTAATGCTCTGTAATTATACTTCCGTGAAGTAATTGGATATGTTGCAATTAAAAAACTCAAATAATATAGGAAGATTAACTTTCAATTTTAAATTTATTTGACAGCAATAACCGATTAACACTTCGAAATAAAATTTTGAAAAAGAAGAATTGAAATATGCGTGTAAAAATTCGAATATTTTTGCTAAAAAAAAGATCAAATTTAGCAATAAAATTTGTGGTAAAAAAAAAATAGGAAAATTGAAAATTGATTAGTATGAATCGCTAATAATTTCCGAATGTTTCTTTATTATGATAGAATAATTGCAAAAATTTAGCAATAGATTTGATCATATAATTTTGGCATAAATTATGATCAGTGATTTTTATTATGAATCGTTGCAATTCTATAAACATATATTCCATTAAATAATAATAAACCTGAAAATTTTGATCGTGTAAAACTTAACTTTTAATAATTCAATCAATCATTAAAGAATTTGCAATGAACGAACTTTCACTTAATGACCTGTTTCAAAAATATCACTACAAACCATCAACATCGAGAGTAATCTCCGTTGGCGATCGCTGAAAGAGTGAATAGTGATGTTATCTGTTGATAGTTATTGTAATTCAATAACGATAAATGATAACAACAAATTACCATTAATTGCATTCTTTGTCGTCTACGACTGTTTTTTTTTTATTGCAATACGAATTTTATAGTTAATACTTCTATTACAATTCAGTTTTAGTTCAAATTAAATTTTGAATGCCACTTCTTATCTTAACTTTTGAATTTTATTTTTTTCTACAAAGGAAAACATGTTTTCGTCAAATTCATTCTAAATATTTTCAGTAACGGACGTTTCTTCATTAAACGAGTTCCTTTTCATAAATGCATAAAGAAAGAAGCTGATATCGAATTAGAGGATGGGATATCAGTACGATGCGAATACTCAAGTAACTTTATTGAATCATTGATTATTACTCATTCTTGGAGTGATAGATGGTGAAATTTTCAGATTATTGAACATCCGAGATAGAAATCAATGTGTTATTTTTGTTTTTTTATTTTTTTAAACAATTAGCAATATTATTTATAAGATTATAAATTATTTTTGACAAGATTTCTGGGATCGGATCGTCAACTTTTTATTACCATTAATGTCACGGTCATTGATTTAGAACTATTTGTTATCTCTTATTATTAATAGTCCCTTCGGAAAAAAAATTTGAATTAATGAATCAGATCAGAAATCGAACAAATATTATTTACAATCATTTAATAATGCTTATTTACGATAACAATAAGTTAAATTGCATTTACAGTTGAATTTTCATTGTTATAATTGTTTTTTCAAAATGATAAATTGAAATGTGATATTATTGCTAACATTTCAATTAAAATACACATTTGCTAATAGGATATTTTTTCTTTCTTTTTTTTTTCATGATATGATTATACTGTATTGTTATTGTAGAAATTCTGCAAATTTAACGAAATGAAATTTAGTTCAATTTTTTGTCATCACAAATGCTACTTTTCTTAATTCGTTCTTTTCAAGCTTATACAATTTCATTCCAGCATGATCAATAATTTTGGTTCAAAAGTCATATGCTTGTTTACTGTGGAAGGCTGGACTTGTAATAAAATTCCTTTATGTTTCACAATGGAAAATGTTCATTTCTGAATGAAATTTAGTTAGTGAACGATTGAAAAAATCAACCACCATCTGACCTCTTTCATCCAAATCGACTTTAGTACTCTTTTTTTTTCCATTTTCTGTTCACTTCCCTATATTGCTCCCTCTCTATGCTCTCACTTTTACATTTTTCTGACAAAGTACCACCCCAAATTAAATAGAAAATCCAACTATAAAAATTGGTGCAGTCAGCCAAAAGACCGATAGTTCGAGAAATGAGAAAGACTGATTATTTTGTTTAAAAAGGATTAATTCCATTTAAATAAGTGTACAGTCAAAATTGTTGTTTTGGATTGGTGCCATTTTTTTTTTGCTCAAAATTAAAGTTTAATTTCAATTTTATTCAAACGTTTAATTACGATTCCAATGTATTAATTTCCAGCTTCCTGAATATTATTTCCATTTCTATTTCCATATCATTCATTAATTTCAGATTTTTTCTCTTTTTTTGTTTGAAAAATTTCTCAGTTTTGTTTTATTTTTTTCAAATATAATAAAAATCATACTAGTGCTACTTAATATTTCATCACCAGTTTTATAACTGAGAATGTATTGGTTTATCTTTTGATAAATTTATTATTAATTTTAAATTTTTTTTTTTTAAATTTATTAATTTTAGAAGCAATGACCAAAGAAAGGACTGTAGCAGCGATTGGATCTTTTGGAATAGAAAATGAAAAAAATGGGAATGGAAATCATCGTAATGAACAAGGCTTAGGATGGATTATAACAAGTTTGTTTCTGGTCGGTGATTTGGCTGGTGGTGGAATTGTCGCATTACCGGCAGCTATTGTGCAAACAAGTAAGCTTACTTATAAATTCAGCTAAATATTTAGAACAAGACTTTTAAGACATTAAATTTTTAATTTTTCTATCAAAAAAAAAAAATATTCGTTTGTTATTTCAACGATACAAAAGATAAAATTGAAAGATGAAATTATTGTGAATTTTCAGATTTTTGGCCCGGATTAATAATAAGCACCATCATGGCTTTAGCAATGGCATATACAGCACATATGTTGGGTCTTGGTTGGGTAATTCTGCAGCGCAGATGGCCGGAATATCGAGAACACTGTCGAAAACCGTATCCTGAAATGGGTGCACGTGCAATGGGCAACACTATAAAGTAAGGCTGTAATATCTTTGCCAAATTTTAAAATTGACTATTTTTGAATTCAATAATAAAATCAATAAAATAAATAAATCGAAAGAATCGTTACATTCCGAGTTATTTTTTTCCGATAATTTGTACATTTAAAAATCGTGATGATTATTATTTAATAAATGCAAGGCAAAATATATACTTTTTTGAACTTCAAGGCAAAATATATACTTTTTAATGTGTGCAATATTTTGATGACACTCAAGTTTGGTGGATATACATTCGAAACCGAGCTGAACTATGACCTCTTATTTGAACCAATTCTTTTGACATACATAAACATTTCTTCATTCAAATAAATATTTTTGTTTTACACATATCATTTCAAATTTTGTGGTACATTTTGCGTCCAATAGAAAGATATTCAGTATAGATATTCAGAAACGTTACAAATGAAAATGGATGTGATAATATATTTGAATTAGTTCCACCAATTAGCCTTTAAAAGTTTCAAGTTCATTAATTAATTGTTTTCTCATATTTAGGCATGTAGTATCAGTGTGTATTGACATAACACAATTTGGTATCGCCGTTGTATACCTGATATTATCAGCTAAAAATATAAGCGATTTTATCGATGCTTTCTTCAAAATTGAAATATCATTTTGCTATGTAATATTAGCAGTTGGTATCGGTCTCCTGCCAATTACATTCCTAAAGTCACCACAAGATTTCTGGTAATTTCAAACATTTGTAATATGCAAAATAATCCTGCTAGAATTGCATTAGATTTTTTCACAATCTAATACGTTAGCAGCACAATATTTCAAATGAAAAATTGAAAAACTTTTTACAAATCGTAAAAAAAAAAGACCCAAGTAAAATGTAAATTTTTTCAACGTTTAATGTGTAATTCAATTTAGTAATAAAATATTCAAATGTTAAAATAATTCTGTCAATGAAATCTTCGAAGTAAAATTATTTCACAGGTGGGCTATAATTCTGGCAATGATTACAACAACACTTGCCTTAATTATGGTTATGATCGGTGCTGTGATGGATTATTCCACATGCGCACCGGAACGTGCCTTTAACACCAATGTATTACCAGCAAATTATTTTCTTGCACTTGGCACTATTTTATTTTCGTACGGTGGACATGCAGCATTTCCAACAATTCTTCATGATATGCGAAAACCGTATCACTTTACGCGATCATCCATTTTGGCATTCCTTAGTAAGTTAAATTCCGAAATATTTTCTAAGCTTTAGCTAAAATTAATTTAGAAATTTCCACTCATCCTTACATACTGATTATTTTTGTCTTTTTTATGTTATAACTTTACATCTTCCGAGGTATACTAATAATGAAAGCTAAAAGAGTAAAAATAATTGGTAGAGGAAATAATTACTGATAATTTAATATAAATGGAATATACTTTTAGTTGACTATCACACTTTGAATTTAAATCATTGATCATAAATTATTAGCTTTGTTTTTAATAAATTAAATGAGAAATTGAAAATAATTGTGAAGTGATAACATAACTGTAATTATAGTTGTATATATGCTTTACACACCAGTTTGCATTCTGGCTTACCTGACATACGGAAATTCATTACGTGAATCGATTCTTAATTCCGTTCAAAATACCGCTCTACAACAGGGCGCTAATATTTTAATCACTCTTCATTGCATACTTACACTTACTATTGTCTTCAATCCTCTTAATCAGGAAGCTGAGGAAATTTTTGGCGTACCGCATCGTTCGTTCATTTTTTTTTTTTTAAAAATCATAATTAAATTTTTGAAAGTTTCAAAACGACATTAAAATATAGATTTATTAATTGTGGCAATAATTTAACAGTCATAATCATATCTGCATTAATAGTAGTAATTACTACTGATAATGATCATGATAATAAAGCAAAAGATAAAATTTTGTTGCGATAGAAGTATTCTGCTACTTTTAATAAGAAAGTACATAATAGTTGATTTCATCTATGAATTTCAAGAATTGTCAAAATTTCAGATTTTTGCTGGCAAAGAGTATTGGTTCGAACGGGAATGATGATGGCTGTAGTTTTTGTCGGAGAAAGTTTACCATCATTTGGACCATTGTTAGGTTTAGTTGGTAGTTCAACTTTAACTTTAACTTCACTCATATTTCCATGTTTGTTTTACCTGTACTTAACAGTTGGTGATGAAATAGCCGAAGAAAAAGGAAAGAAAAAGCCAGATGAGATACCTTCTTTTACCGAGTTAGTTTGATTCTTTGACTCAGAACAATTTATTTTATTGATAGATCATTGAAATATAATTTAAGAAGTTAAAAAAAAAATTGCTAATAACTATCAGCTACTCATACACTTTCAAAGTTTTATTTAAAAAATCAAAGCAGAAAATTCAAATACAAATTATTTCCATAATTTCTTTCTCACATAACATAGCATATTATTTATAGAGTGTTGGTACGATCACCCAGACGACGTTTGATCATCTGTTTATTAATTATTGGTAAGTTAATTGTTACTTTTTCTTATTTATATCATTATCGATCAATTTTCATTTCAATAATGAGTATTTATTTATTATATTTTACAATCTATAAATTATATGATATGGAATGATAGGACTGATCAGTAGCAGATTCGGTAAGGTAATGAAGGAATTTAGTATTGATAAAGTTATGCATATGTAAAATCACGCATATCACTTATCAAATGTAGATTTTGATGCCAGCTATTAATGTTTATCTTTTAATTAAGTAATTGATGAAATTAATTAATCAATCAATTAATAAATTTTGATTATTTTATGACAGACAAAATTGTAATTCAATAAAACCATAATTCAATAGTAAGAAATCTTTTTTTTTTCGTTGCACAAAAAACAAAATATTTTTGCAAGAATGATAAAAAATAAAATATTTTTGTAAGAATGATACTAAAACAATGAATCATATGATCAATTTGATTATGTGTGTGCCATATTTCAGAAAACTGTAAACAGACAATTGTAAAAATAACTGCAAACATGAATCATCATCGCTCATAATGCAATTATAATGTCACATGAGAGATTAGCTAGCATTGAAGTTTAATTTATGATGCTATACGAGATCGAGAAAAATAAATGTATATGTGCATTAATAATAATCTTTGAACAGTTTTAAATATATAAAAAAAAATATCAATATTTATTGCTTTTCAATAGAATTCTATTCATATCTAAATTAGACTACCTCATTTATGCGAAATAAAAAAGGCAGAGATTTTTAATGAAATATGCTATCATTTTTCAACATTTATAGATGGAGAAAAAAAAAACTTTATATAAAAGAAATCGAAGTTAAAAAAAAAAAATTAATGCATTTTTTTTTTTTTTGAAAAAAGAAAATGAAACTAAAAAGTTTGCTAAAATTAGGATCAATTTTTCTAGCAAATTTTTTGAAAATACATTGCAAGAAAGAAAAAAGAAATAAATTGAAAAATTGATATTTTGTTGTGCGTTTATAGCATTAATAATAATTATATTATTGAAGTGGGTGGATTCATCGGTGGTGGATTAGCAGTTTATACATCCATCAAGGAATTAGCAACAACACGATTCACTGAGCCATGCTATGTTAAGCCATTCTTATCGTCTAACGATTCAAAATCTCTCGATGGTTATCTGAATTGTTGTGGAATGTGGCAGAATATTACACGGCTAGGCGATAATTCCGATTGCAATCCCTATTTTGATTTTTATAGTGAAAAATAGATGAACAAGCATCAAACAATTTCAATTTTTGCTCTTAATATATTCGTTGAGAGAAAAAAAAAATAGCAAAAATTGAAATAACTATTTTTAACACAAATCGATTAAAATATTAGTAGTGTAGATTAATTGTTTAAATAACACTTTGATTATGTCACAGTAAACTATAAGAATTTAGAAAGAATTATCTACGATTACAACATCCCAAATTGTTTCCCCATCTTAAACAATAATTTGAAATTTGAATGTCTAATTGTCAGTTTGTTATATAACGCAAGTAAAAAAAAAAGTAATTAAAAAATAATATTAACTAATGTATAATTAAAAGATTTCTCAATATGATATTAAAGGAGTATTCAAATATATTTAGAGGACTATGCAACTGAGAAATAGTCAGAAATTTGAGAATTTTTAAGAATTTCATTCATTTAAAATCAATAAATAAACAACAAGTCCCTGAAGAAGCTCTCAAAAATTCCAGGTAATTCTGTTGCAAATTTCCCGATCAGCAATCTCAATGAATTTAATAAAACTTTAATGGGGAGGGGAAGGGTAGGGACAAAATTTATATATATATATATATAATATAAAGTTATTACACATACATATATAGTTTATCGTATTACTTATTCACCACTAAATTGGAAGTTCCAAAAATATTTAAATGCATTGACTGACACAGTTGTTAAAATATACTTTCAAAATTTACATTCATTGTTAATGTGTAATCTATAAGTATAATTGCTTTCTCTCAACTCTTCTACTTCTGAAATATAAAGTTTCATGGATTATTTTTGTTTTAATAAAATTCAATTCTCAATCTATATCAATCCTAAAAGTATATGGTTATAAAATTTTTGTAATAAATACATTATTATCTTAATAACCGTAGTAAAATTGCAATCAGTTTAAATTGTAATTTTTATATACGTAGTCTTTTTTTCTTAACTTCAATATTTACTCTTGTTGATCGTTCTTATCTGTAAATAAATTTGA